TATATATATATATATATATATATATATATATATATATATATATATATTTCTGCTCTTGACTAAGATATTATGTTTGTGCAGATCATTTAAAAATATAATGCATAATTAAGAATTATAGTCTAGCTTGTTGTCATGTTAGTTAGGTTTTCTAAATTTAAAGATATATTTCAGTTAGATAGATATTCTTTAAATATTTCAGAGACCTTAAGAATATGACATTTAAAATGTTTTAAGAACTTAATACTTTTCATGTCAATGATATACACCTGCTCTTGACAGCACCAACTACTTCAAGAGGAAGATGGGCATCAAAGAGGTTCCTTATGGAATTTGTTAGCCATTTGGACAAGAAACTGCTCTTGCATGGATTGCTTGATGAACTGGACATGCAGAACCCACAGAAAAATGACTGCTGAATTTGCATGAAGGTGAGATGATCCTGTGGGGTTCCTTCTACAAGAACGAGTCTGCCAGATATTCTGTAGGACACAGAAGAAAGGGACAAAAAAACTGCCAATATAGGCGGAACTGTCTTTGAAATTTTCTGCTTCATGGAATAGTCTGCTGGATACTATGGGTCTGTAGGCTGAAGATGGATGCCCCAAATGTAAAGAAGAACTTTGAGTTATTGTCCTGGCAGCAAGATGCCTCTGTCAATCCTGGAGTTTTGGAAGTTGCTTCCAATGTACTTTCTGTTTACTTAGGTAATATTATATCATTTTGGAATCTTTGATGAAGATTAGACAGTTGAGGAGTAGACAGTTATAGTTTATGTTAGTTATGATAAAAGTTCAAATAGATATAACTATTGTAACTATAATTCCTGCTTGACACTTGTGTTATATGAAATTTTACTATGTTAAAGTTAAATCCTTCCTTTGTATTTAAACAGAAAAGGGGAGGTGATGTGGGATTTCCCTTTGTACCATTGATTAATAAAGAAAATGCTTTGGACCTATAGCAGGGCAGAACATACATAGGCATGGAAAGCTAGCCTGAGTGCTACGAGAAAGAAGGGCATAGTCAGAGAGAAGGCATGTAGTTGCTGCAGAGACAGATGTACTGAAACTCTCCTGGTAGGCTACGATCTCATGGTGATGCACAGATTAATGGAGATGAGTTAAATTAAAATGTAAGAGTTAGAAAATAAGAAATTAGAGTTACTGGGTCAAGCAGTGGTTTAAATAATATAGTTTCTGTGTGATTATTTCGGGGGCTGAGCAGCCAGGCACCAACAAGTGGCCTCCATCCGACATCATTGTTTAATATTCAAGTATGTTTCTTATAAATATAGAATGTAATTTGATTTTGTTATATATTTAGACTTTAGGAGATTTGAACGTAACAGCTATGTCTAATATCTTTTCTTTTTCCCTGTTAGAAGCCCACAAAGAAGATTGCATCTGCCTTCCCTATTTTGATAGAAAACTATACTCTAAAAAATCATTGTTAAACAAAGAGAAAATTGTAATAAACATATGCATATTTGCAGGACTTGGTACTGGAAGATCATTCTCAGGAATTTATTCTCCAATGAGAATGACTCATACATATGTACACCTTTTAAGCATATCCTGATTCATTTGCTTACTGAAGTCATTTAACAAAAGAAAATCTTCTCAGATGAACTTTTGAAAACATATTTCATCCTCTCTTTTAAATAATGTGGAATGTGGGGATACACCCCAAAATTTTGTTCTGTGCAATCTTTTAGTGTATAAGGATCATTCAACCACAAACCATAATTTTCAGCTAAAAGTAAATATGAAGCACAACATACAATTCACTTCTGTAGTGCCTGTGCCCATCCTTCCCCAGTAACTGTGACATTTCTAATTATTCCAATAGATTTTAGTAATACAGATAACAGTTGTTACATCAGAGTGATTATTTTAATTAGCTTAGTGAACAATATATATTTTTGGGTGAGATCCTTTACAAAACATCTTTATTGCTTTTTGAAACATTTTACTTAAGCATTCAAAAAGTAAGAAGAAATCACAGATCATATAAGGGAAAGAAAAAGGAAGTCAGTAATTTGGTATGTTTTATCCAGACTTCACAGGTGAGGGGGAAATTTATTTAAAAAGAAATGGTGATTTGTATGTGATACTGATTCCATGGTCAAAAGAATGTGATGCATAATTCTCATCCTGTTGTCATCCGTGCAGACATGAAATAAAAAATTAAAACATGATTGAACAGGAAAATTTTTGTCCTTGAGAATATATGAATGCAAACTTAAATATAACAATACAGAGTATAGAGAATGGATTCTACATAAACAGTTCCTTTCCTAGAAGTCACCAATACCTTGCACTTGGGATTCTATAGGAGTATATTCACCAGAGAATAATGACATTCTGTGACATGCATGAAAATTTATATTGAGAAGTTTAAAAGAATAAACTGAAAACATCATCATGATTTTACAAATAATACATGTACAAAACTGTGACAAATAATAGTCCACAATCATAAAGAAAGAAAAATTTTTCAAATACAAGCTACATTCTCTTGATGGAATATTTCTCAATATAAAAATGCTAGCAATTCTGGACAAGATAAAAGTCCTTCATACTGATTTATAAATAAAAATATTCTAGCATTCATTTCTGTAACTCTAGATATTCAGCTTTAAAAGACAAATAAAATTCTAACTTAATTTTGCCTAATTTAGAGTTAATTTTTTCCTTCGAAACATACTTATTTCTATTTTTTATGTAATAAGCACAAATCTATCGAAATATCAGATGGTTAGTCAATGCTTTTATTTCTACTCACCTAAAGATGGTGATTATTTAGGACAAATATCTGTAAAAGAACATGTATGGGTTAAGGAGTAACATAAATGTTCTCATATGAATATTAGAAGAGCTCCCCATGGATTATTTCTGGAAATAGCAACTGAAAGATTGCATATGACTAAATTTATACTGAATCAGAAATCTTACTGACTAGATAGATAGAGAGATAGATAAAAAGATAACTAGAAAGACTAAGTATATATATACATGCATGTATTTATGAATATAAATCAATATACATGTATGAATAAATATGTCTCTATGCATTTAGAAATGCTATGGCAATAATAATAATCACTGAGTTTACCTGTAGCCAGAACATCTTGAATGTTTTCTTTTGGAATGTTCTGGACCTTAGCAAATTCCTCAATTTTTTCATATTGTTCAGGAGTCAAAGGTTGACCTTTTCCTGTATTGTATAATTGACAATGTAAGAGATATGTTTAGTAGAATTCTTCAGAAATTACATTGCTTCCTTAGTATCCCAACTGCTCCAATTTCATGTATCCTGGGTGGGTCAATACAGGCAATAATAATTTTCCCCAAATTCCATGAACACAATTAATAAAGTCTAAATCGTGATATGACATTATTTTTCAGTATTCTATGACGTATCAAAAAATAAATAAAAAAAATTCTCTAGAGAATTCACTCATCTCAATCCTACCCACTTTCAAAAACATGACCCTAGACAGTCATGGATGCCTGTCAAGGGAATCCTCAGATTTCTTCCAAGTCTATAACCTAGAGTTTATGTTTCAATTTAGTACACACTTTTCAAATGACACTCAAAATGATTTAAACTTTGGAAAAAATATTTGTTCCCTTTTTCTTGTGAGGAAGTATGAACATAAACACTTCCAATGGCATCGCGCATCACCCCAAGTCTTCAATGACCATGGTACTCAAATTACAATATAATGTAAAAGGTCGTCCACAAACCAATCAGAATGTCATTTAGTGAATGGGAGTTTGGAAATACCATGATACTGTACTTGGAGGGTGTATCTGACTTAATCCTTATTTACTGGGTGATAATTTTGTTACTATTTTTTAAAAAAGCCCACTACCATTCTTACCATAAACATAAATCATGTTTGTTGTCTGGCCAGTTCTATCCACATTATGATTGGCAAAGATTGTAAACTCTGGTGTTGCATACACAGGCCCAAATGTGTTGTCACCTTCAACTGTAGTAACAGAAACATTTCAAAATGAGTGTCCCTCATTTTTCTACTTTGCTTGATGTCACCCATTGACTAAACACTAATATTTACCACAACTCTATCAGTCATCTCTGATTCACTTTCATATGACAAATGTGTGCAAAGATATTCCTATAGTAATTAATTTTGCACATCCCATCATAATATTCTTTAAACCTGATAATGAATCCTAGGTACAGATACTTTCCCTTTTCTCTGAATTTTATGTGTAAAGACCTTTGGGATTACTATGGTGGGTATTCCTTCCCCTTTCAACCAGATCTAAAAGATCACTTATCAATTTCTAGAAAGTAAAAAATCTTTGGTTTCATACCATGGTAATACCTGGTGGACAAATGTATACAAATTCAAAAAGAGACCTTAGTAATGAGAAATATGCACAAAAGTTTTTATCTTGTACAGCTATTGATGGAAAAGATATAAGAATGAACATGTCAAATTTATTAGACATTCATAGTGTATATGGGTCTGTCTCTCTGTGTGAATGCTCTATATACATATACCTTTCTCTTCATCTCTCTCCAGGTGTGTGTGTGTGTGTGTGTGTGTGTGTGTGTGTGTCTGTGTGTGTGTGTGTAAGTCTAAAGTCTATACTTACTGACACTAATTAAATGATAAAAGTTGTTCACAAGGAAATAAAAGTATTTTGGGATCTGGACATTTTCAATTACAAGACTGATTTTTTAATATCCATGTAAAGTTTAGAAAACAATGGACTTTCCAGAAGAATGTGCACTCCATTCATTTAAGATCAAACCAAAAGGCCCACCAGTTACAATTCAGGTGAAAAATGTTGCCATTAAATTAGCAATTTTTACAAAATTGAAAGAGTCAGTCTGAAATTTTTAAATAGACTTTTCCCTAACTGCTTTTCAAAATTGAGGTTATCATCCAATAATCTAAATGTTGTGATCTCAACAAAATATATGAAAGGGAAACTTGAAAATGATCCTGTTAATTTAAATCCTCTATTAATTCAGGTTGATAGAAAATGCCTATAATATAAGTACTTCATAGCCTGAGGTATAAAGTTTGCAAATATGTTTGAGGCCAGAGAGACCTATTAATGAGTGTCAGACCTATCCAATAACAATCCAAGGTACTGTATAAAAGAAAAGGCACTGAATATTATTTAGAAGTAAATTTAAATGAAAAAAACTATTTGGAGATATTTTGTTAGCATTACTCACACCTTCAGGTAATAGTGTTCTTCTCCATGTAAACTTCAGAAGACCTGCAATGTACTCTGACTTTGTACCATATCTCAGTTGGTTGGAAGGGTTGATAAATTTCCAAGTAACCAGAATTGTTCTAGATTTATGTGCCTATGGGTAGCTGAAGTGTCAGCTTGTATGTGCACACCCACAATGTTTTTGTTCAGAAAAAGCTCCCAAAATCCCATACTTACACTGTGCTCTATACTTGCCATCTTCTTGTCTATTCCCAATGATTGTGGTCTTTGTACATTGGCCATTCGCCCTAAAAAAAATTAAACAGCGAAACAATGGTTTATCCTTTATAACCTTTGAATTCATATTAAAGACCTTCAAGTATTACAGTGAACCTGATGAACAGTGTACAGAGTTAGAAGAAAAGTATCTAAGCTTACCTTACTTCTCCTAATTCTTGTTTAGAAAATATCATTCTGTTTGTAATTATGCACATGTCTTATTTTATTTGAGTCAATTTTAACAAATCCCATGAAGGCTTTGATGTCTTCCTTATCTGATTTCAGTATTCACTGAGTATGATTTTTAATATGTTAATTCTCTTGTTTTAGTCCAACAATAACAAGTACATTGAAATATATGCTTGTGTTTTAAGGGATTTATTTGTAACTTAAATCTTACAATTGTGTCTAGAATATAGGAATGATTTAAAGCATTTGAAGTTCTTACGGTGTTATGTACTCTTTCACTGAACCTTATCATCTAAATGTCAGAGAGAGAATCTTTGAATCTATAGCCTCAGATACAGTACTTTTTACAAATTAGATTTATCTGAGCTGGGTGTAAAAGACTTTCTTATGGTATCATTGACTGAATAACATAACATGTGTGTGTTTGAACCAAATGCTCATGCATATTTTTAAATTAATATAAGTGATATCCTTGGAATCTTCTGTATATAATATTAGAGCATGGAATTTAAGCACAGGCCTCCAACCTGGAGAATTTCTAAGGAAACAGTAAAGGAACTGGAGACAGTATCTAACTTCTGTGTGGTGTCCAGAGCCAATCCATCATGGAATAACATAATCACATTTCTGAAAATAATACCTTCAAGTTCATGATCAGAAACAGAACATTGGCCTGTAAATTTAACAGTTAAAATCTGTAAATTTAAATAGTCTGCGCAGTTCACACAGTTAACAATTTGCTTACTTGATATAAAATGTGACTCCCAATCTATTACAGGCGTCAGTACAAGTAAGTTCACGAAGGTAGATTCTCAGAGGTCCTCCTTCCTTTACCTTGTTCACATTGTCAGCAGCAATGGCAATGGTAACCCATTTTCCATCAATCTGAAAAAACATCAAAGGTCATTAGAATGTGAGTTGGCATCAAATCTATGATCCCATTCCTTGGAAAAAATGAAATAACTAGAAACATAAATCAATAATATTTTCTTTATTAGTTAAAATTATGCTTCTAGGGATGTAGAATAACACAAGGTAATACGATGACTCAAGTTACATAGCATTTAGTACATGAGACCTTTTAGAATTACCCATGTGCTGGCCTCTTAAGCTCTGAAATTCAACCCATAGTTTCCTTATTTTGTTTATTTCATCTTAGAAAAATCTGACTGAAAAAGTACATATGAGTTAAAGTCAGAAATGAATATGGACTTGCATGGACAAACTGAATGACACGTCACATCCATATAAATACGCTGTTGAAGAACACCAAACCTGTTCACAGATCAAATGAATTTACCTCAGCATGAGCATGAGCCAGACCAAATGCCAAAGCCAGCAGTAGAAACTTTACCATGGTGGTACCTGCCTTTGCTCTTCTGCAGAAGCTCAAAGTAAGATATTGGTTGTGAAGGAACTGAACTGAGAAAAGCTTTTTATACAGTTAGTTAAAGGGAGTTTCATGGAATCAATCAATGGTTCTGTGTCACAACTTGGATCTGTCCAGTATTTCTACTTTGACCCTCTTGAATGGTGTGTGATCTCATATTCCTAAACTAATACAATTAGACTAAAGGTCAGGTTCTGTTGGAATGATAAATTAAACATTCCTGTCAGAAAAAAAATAACTATCCCTGTGAGAACATTTTAGAAAACATTTTGCTTCCAGAGCTATACTGGTGGTTAAAGGTCACAATGCATATGCATATGTCGTATAAGATTCATTTAAGACCATAGCATGCGCTTTAAAGTACATTCTGAATCTAAGCATAATACAGTACAGTTAAATGAATTTAAAACTGTAGGCTCGACTATATGAGCCAAAGCATGCACACTATTAGAAGATAAGTTGGTAACGCTAAAGAAGGATGTTGTATACAGATATTGATATGTCCTGTGCTATCTTTAAGACTTTCCATATGTTGAGTACCTTTTTCTTCTAGCACACTGAATTCAACTGTCATGACACAGAGCGTCAAGAGATATCACCAATGCTTAACTGTTTAACTAATAGAAAAAATGCTGCTAGATGTCTCCTGGCAATAAATACTGGTATCATTAATCAAAAGAAATGAAATCAAGTGAAACAGTCTATAAATAATGATGTTCAAAAAACTCGAAAATGTGCAAATAGACTCATCTCAAAATATTATTATGTATCCTAAAGCAAGGACCATCCCTGCCCATTTGATTTCTTTGCACATCAAATCCAAAGTCTGTTTTGTGCTTAGGCATAGGATCTTGTTATCAATTTCTTTCAATAACCAAGACTATCAGGACTCTGAAGTATGTGTTGAAATTTTTTATTGAAAACTCATAATTACTTATGACACCTTTATCAAAAATTAGTTGCCCCTTCATAACACTTTCTTTGAATTATAACTTACTTTTTCCTCTATTTTTCTAAATTTGAGATTATAGGACAATTACATGATTCCCCACTCCCCTTTTTTCCCTCTAAGCATTCCAATATGTACCCCTTCATCTCTTTCAATTTTGTGGACTCTTTTTTTCACTAAATGTTGTCTCATGCATATGAGTGCAAGTTTGCAAGTAAGTCCTTAACATTCATCTGAAGATTTGGAACTGGGAAAAACAGAAGAGACCTAACATGCCACATTTGTTTTTTAGATCTGGTTTGGCTAAAAAACTAGGATCTTTTATATTTCCTGCTATTTGCCTACAAATATCATGATTTCAATTTTCTTTACAATAGAATATTTATAATATTGTTTACATGTATCACTATTTCATTATCCATTAGACAGCTGTAGACCATTTAGGTTGCTTCTATTTTCTAGCTGTTATGAATAGAGTAGTAATGAACATGCATGAGAAAATACCTGTGAAGTAGAATATCAAGTCATTTGGGCATATTTCAAGGAGCAATATAACTGAGTCACATGGTCCATATTTACTTTCAGAAAACTATGTATTCTCCACACTATTTCAATAGTTAATATACAAATTTGCAATACTAGCAAAAAATGTCTCCGGTCTCCTTGTTCTATCTCTCTCTGTCTGTTTCTCTCTCTCTGTGTGTGTCTCTCTTTGTCTCTGTCTGTGTCTCTCTATCTCTATTAATGTCCCATGTCCATTTTGACTAGACTGTCACTTTTCCCATATTTTTTTTAAACGAGTCATGTATTCTGGATATTTAGTCACAACTAGCATGTTTGCTTACACTGGACATAAACTAGTCATTTCCTATGTGCTGGAGGTTATGGAAGGAAATGTGTCTTATGGAATTATACATTTCATTTATGATCTATGAGCCAATGATAGGTTGGGGTGGGAAGAACATTGTCCAGCCCTATTCTTTCTACTTTTGAGTCTATTAGGGCCCAAGTGTTAGTTCCAAATCTAAAGGAACATATATAGCCCTGAATAAACTTATAGGGTCACAGATAAGCTTAGAAAATCAATAATAGTGTGAAAGGGACATGTTGGTTGTGGGAGCATACTTGACAGAATTGAGATGACATTAGAGAAAGAATTATCAGAATGTTTCATATATGTGGGAAATCATCAACAAACAATTTTAAAGGCATGTTACTGGGGATATCCATGACAAGCATTTTGAACACAGAAAAAAGTATTTGTGGAGTACAGAAGGAAATGGGAGGTGCTGACACATTATGTAGATTCATGTTCATAGTTCTTGGCTTGAGCTACACACACTCTCTCTTAAACAAAATCCTTCAACCCTGAACCATGGCCCAATCTTCTGTTTAATGACACTCGTGGAATGTGCATTTTCTCCAAATTTTAGAAATATAAAAATAACAATGGAGTTCAGTAGTGGTGGCATACACCTTTAGTCCCAGCATTCAGCAGATTAAGGCAAGTGAATCTTTGTGAGTTCAAGGACAGCCTGGTCTGCACAGAGAGTTGCAGGACAGGTTACAAAACTAAACAGAGAATCCGTGTCTCAAAAAACCAAGAAATAAAGTAACCGTGGAATGAACAGTAGCTCTCATTCTTTCTTCATGTACTTTTATGTTTTGTAACCATTCAGTAAGAATGAGTGGAGACTCCACTTTATAATTCAGTTATACACTGATGATATGCTTCAAACCAAGTGGATGATTGACTGACTAGTATTTCATAAGAAATCAGCTGCTGTATATCTTGGCTTGATGCTCAGGATCAATATGAAAATAGGCAGGCACTTATTTGACAAAATTGCCTCCAGCGTTTTTCCAGTACTCATTCACTGGGCACAGATAAATTCCCATACATTTGTCATGGTTTCCACTGGAAGTTTTATTTTGTATTATCAGAAGGAATAAGGGACTTGTTAAATGATTACTCTGTTTCATTATTTTCTATTGCCCTCTTTTATTCATTTACATAGCTGCATTTTGTTAATATTAGTGATTTTGCTATACATTTTGAATACATGTGTTTTTCCAATAATGTGTTTAAAATTCTGAATACATGTGTTGTTATAAATAAGGTATTTAAGTATCTTCTCAATATATGAATTTTCTATCAACTATTTCTTCAGTGTATCTTAAAGTAAAAAATATGTAAATTCTTACTAAGTCCACCTCTATCTCTTTTTCTCCCTCTCTTTCCCTATCTCTGTCTTTCTTTGTCTGTTCCTCTCTGTCTCTCTCTATTTAATTCTATCTCTGTGTCTCTATGTCTATCTGTCTCTCTATGATTCATAAGGCAATGCTGAATGATGACTTTTCTAAAAACATTTTTTTCTTTCTCCTATATCCAAGATTTGAAAGCTTCAAGTGATAAGTACTCCTAAATACTTTCCAGCTTTGCCTCTTATATACAGTGATCTTGCATTTTACTGACTGTAACTCTCAGTAATGTGGAAAATGACCCAGGAGATTCTGGTTACACATATTCAATTTCTTGAACAATAAATGCATTGTAAGGAGTAACTTTTTTTTTACTGAAATGTTCATGAAAATTCTCCTGTAAAGAATGTCCCCTAGCAATATACTCCTTGATAGTTTTAATTAAACTGTTGGTATTTTAGTATTTCTAAATTAATAACCATCTTTAGACCCTGATAATTTACAAAAGAGCTGTGTTTTTGTTTAATACACACCATGGTATAAACATCCCCAAAATGAATCAACCATATTATCTCAGAAAATCAATACTCTTTAAATTTCTGTTGAGTGACAAATAGAGTGCCCAACCTTAAGCAGTGCCTTTAGTTTAGGATTCCTGAATCATCAAATTCAATTATCATCATCCGTTCAGGTTGACATCAAATTTGAAAAGATTTATTTTATTTTGATTTTATTAGTAGTAACCATTACTAATATTTTAATATCAACAAATATAATCTATATTATTCATTAATTATTTGCAATAATATAACTAAAAATTATTCATCTATTATTATTATTTTATCCTTTCATAATCTATCCTCTTCTGTATGGCAGCAACATGCCCTGGACATTCCCACTGATCTTGCTGGAGTAAAAGCATATTCATTCTGTGTTTAGTACTTCAACACTATACTGCAATATCTATAATCTAAAGGTTAATACAATTTACCCCTCATCTCTTCCTCCTTAGAAATCCTAGCATAAAACATTCATTCATTGATGATTTCACTAAATGATTTACCATGTTTAATTTCCAAATTCTTAGACTTTAACGGGATAGTTCTTTGAAATTTCCCCAGAATCCCTTTTTACCTACAAAGATTCATGTTTCAAATGGACATGGCTTTAATGTATTGGGAGAAATAACTCCAAAAATTTTTATTGAAGTTATTTGTTCCCATTCAAAATTGTGCTAATATGTAATAATATTTTTTATTTTTTTTCCTTGTGCTTATCAAGATTCCCCTGGATATCCATTGACAAATGTCTCTTCTACACTTTCTATTATACAGTGTATTTTTAAATTCCCAAATTAATATATACATTTCAATCCCAATTTATTATAAAAGACATAAATTAACTTTTCAATACCATACTGAAATTTAGAGTACAAAGAAGTATCAAACATGAAAGTCTGAAATATAAATATTCTTTATTTTCAGTAGAGTGAGAAATCACCTCAGAGTCCCCGATAGCAACAGTTCCCTGTGGTTTTGGTTTCATGTTCAATTCTAGGCATTTTGCCTCAGATGTTCAGGTTGAGATCAAATCAGAGCAGTTTTTAAATATCTCCTTCTTCCTCCATCTTACTATCTTCTCTGACATTAATGTGCAAGGAAACTGCCTGTATCTTTCCTTAAACATACACAAGTAGAAACTTAGTTAAGGGTGTTGTTTTCTGAAAAGATAATGGAAAGCTAAAAAATTCATGGACTTAAATTCCCTTGTTTTTATCTATGCTCCTAAAACAGTCATATTAGTTCACCAAATTTTCAGAATTTTGATTATGACAATTAATTTTAAAGAAGTCCTTCCTGAATAATGACAGTGAGGAGGGGGATATGGGAT